GAGAGAGAGAGAGAGAGAGAGAGAGAGAGAGAGAGAGAGAGAGAGAGAGAGAGAAGGAGAAGGGGAGAATAACAGAGGGGGCGGAACGAGGAGGAGCTAAATGATGTGGTCTCACCTGGCTCCAGGTTCAGGTCGCATTTCTCCCGGTTCTTGAAGTCGCAGATCTTGGCTGTGCTGTATACGTTCTGCATGTCGCTTACGATCTTGTCCAGCTGCAAAGAGAGGCTTCATCAGTTTCAGGCCGTTTACGTTCCAAGCGTTTAGCAGCGCACCCGGGCAGCGCCAGACCAATGCCAGTGCCAGTGCCAGTCTGACGGGTTCATCTGGCCCGGCAGAGATGTCGAATGAGCTGCCTACCCGCAAGGCGCTCGATGAGCCGCTCGCTGAGCCGCCTCGCGCTACTCACTTTCTCGTACTTGTCCTCAGGCAGCGCGGCGGCTCCCAGCACGGACAGCTTCTTGAACTGACGGCGCACGTTGGGGTCCTTGTATGTCGTCCAGGGGTACTTGACGGTCTCCTTCCACGCCTCCTTCTGGAAGCGCGCCGTGTCGGCGGCCACCTTCAGCTGCGCAGCGGAGAAAAGGAGGGTTACAGTCCAGCAGAGCCGGGCAGACTTCAGAGAGCAATGGAGTTGCCCAGGGCAAGGCCCCAGAACGGCAGGAATGGCTGCGGCCCCACGAAAAAAGCGCCGAAACAAACACTAAAACGACTAATGAGAAGTTGCCATGCACGTATGCCCCTTGTGACACGTGAAGAACACGAACGGACTGCAAAGTAAATAATAGTTTTCCTCACTAAATTCTCGAGGGCTAGGGCAAGTCGCCGAGCGCGCGTGATAGCAAGGGCCGAGCCCACTCCAGTCGAGACGTGCGGGTCCTGGGAAGGAAAACAGCCTGCTGAGTCTCCCAAAAACAGACACACACACACACACACACACACACACACACACAGCACGTACACTTTCCAAACAGTTGCAAAATTGCCACCATCGCTTTTGTTGACGTTCTTGTTGAAATTAAGTACAGGAGGACTTATTAATTTTTTCGTTGGTCTGCGCAAAGTACACACTGTTACAAGAATCAATATAAACATCTTGCAATCGCTGGAACGAGCCGATTACGAGCCGACTAGGGTGGCGATGCAAGTAGCCATTTGAGCATGGGCAACATTTAAAACGAGCATCGGCTGTTGATACCCCTCCTCCCCATCTCGAGGGCGCCTTGCCGATTTGCGTTACACGACTCACCTTGTTCTGTAGCGTTTCGTCGGTGATGTTCGACGCGTAGGCCCACTCGGCGATGGCGGCCATGTTGGAGTGCTGCAGCAGCTCGGCGTTGAGTTTGTTCAGGTACTGCTTGGCGTCCTCCTCGGTGTACGTCTTGGCGGGCTGGTCCTGCTGCTGCGGCGCGGCCAGCGCCACGGCCAGCGCTCCCAGCGCCAAGCACATCGTCACCGCCCTCATTCTGTAAGACGGAGTCGCTGCTGGGTGTGCTCTACGCTCTCGAAGAGCCGGCGGCTTTCTGAGGCCAGACGGGGGCCGCACCAGGCCGGCCACTTCGATAACTAGAAGGAAACCCTGGTCACTCGCGGGGCGCGGCCGGCGCGGCGTGGCGTGGTGGGTATCGTGTGGGTGGGTGGGCTGCCCAGTGTCTGCCCAGTGGGCTGCGAATGCGAGAGCTTCAACAATCGCCCTCCCTTATCGCCAGGCCTCGGGGCTCGTCTCGTGTCTCGTGCCGGAGAGAGGGACTGCATCAATTTTTCCGTCGACCCGACCCCCCCCCCCTCTCTCTCTCTCTACAACCGCTATCGTCTGCACGTGTATCCCCTACCTACAACAACTACCCTTTCCTCCCCTCGCCGCGTGACAACAAGAGGGAAACCCGATCCGACTATTTGCCCCGATAAGTCCGTTTTATTGTTATCTGTTTAGTTTCCAGTAACGACTAGAACAAGACCGCGGTCGTGGTAAGTCAGTGGAAGCCGTGGAGCTTTGGAGAGGAAACGTAGGGAGGAGATCGGCAGGGAATGCGAGTGGCGATCGGGCACCGACGGGGACCCCATTTGACGTACGCGGAAAGGCGCTGACCGTGATAAGCACAAGCAGACGGGTGGACACCCCGTCGCGCCGCCGCCTGCCCCGCCCCGCCCCGCACCGCACCGCCAGGCTATCGCGACCTCTGATGCAAAAATGGCAATTCATGGGAAATTGGGGGCGATTGGAAAACGAGCTAACAGCCAACCTTGACATTCGGATAGTCGCGTCAGCCATGCGCATCGTATGATGTCACGGACGGGGTCCACGACGAACTACATTTGCAGAGTACGTTGGAGAGTGCGTACTGTACCGGATAGCTGAAGAAAGATCCGTCGTTGGTGGTTGTTTGCACCGTCTTTTTTTTCTAGTTATATACGGTACCGGATTCAGGAAAGCGGACGGGTTGCAAACTCACTCCGGCCAATAAGGCGCCATAGGCTAGACCACCCCATCTGAAATCTGTATAAGAATAACCAAAAACGAAAAAGACAGCGTAAAGTCCCTTCGCATACTTTTTAAATGCGCAGAGCCGAAACTACCTATTGAAAAGCATACAATTTATGAAGAACAATAACTAAATGCTTTGAAGCATGCTGGCATGCTTTCCATCTGTTGCTCAAAGAAACTTGGAGAATGCTCCGTCCATTCTCCGTACACCTACTTCCTCCTCGGTCAGTGCAGGGTGCAACGTGCAACCCAACGCCCTCACCCTCACGTCCCGGGGGACGGCCTGACGTCTGACCAGACAGGGCGAGCCGCGGGAGGGGCGCGCTGCCGGAGGCGGGGGGGACGGGAGGCACGGCCGCTCCCGTGGATTGTGTTTGCGACGGTCCGATCGAATGACGAGCAAGTGCTGTTGAATTTAAACCAACCCCATCGAAGAGGAGGGAGCGGGGAAGAGGGGAGGGTAGGACAAGGCGCGGACGCGCACTGTTAAATTCCTACAAAGCATTTGCTTTGGAGAGCTGCGAAGTATTTTGCTCCTTTGTAACTACGAAGCATTTACTTCGCAATGACAAAGTGATGCTTGGCAATTGCGAAGCAATGAAAACGCTGCAAGGAATCGCTTTGCAATTGCAAATTGTCACTTCGTAATAGCAAAGCATCACTTTGTAATTGCGAGGTAAATGCTCCGTAGTTACAAAGGAGCAAAATACTTCGCAGGAATTTAACAGTGCGGGGAGGAATGTGTGCAGCGCGTCAGGGATCGTCCAGAAGTACGTCCAATTTTTTCCTCGGATTCATTCGCCAGATGACGGGAGCTCGGCGCCTAGAAGACACAGTGTAGGCCACCCATTAGTACACGCATGTGTTGCATGCAAGGTTTTGCATACCTATCAGGCGTCATGAGAGCTAGCAGAGGCCGCAGAGATTGAATTTGACAGTTTCGAGACAGCGAACGGCGATAGTGACGGTCAAGGATGATCCACAAAAAAGGACACCGTAAATTTGGGGTGTCCAGCAGACCAGCAGAGACCCAGGTTTCTGTGCGACTTAAGTCGCAATTTTGCAGGACACTTTGAGGTTTGGCACCCTGCAGAAAGGTCCAGGCCCCGGCTCCCTCTTATTGGACACTCCTTGCTTGGGTCCCTCTGCAGGAAAAGGGTGCTGCTCGTCGCGGCAGTGTGGCGGTCGGAATACTTCCAGGTCATATGGAGGTAAGGGGAGGGGGTTGGTCTTTGGCGGGGTGGGGGTGAGGATTTATAGAGAGAGGAATTAGTCGGCTAAACAGGGGATGTGGGTGGTATCGGGCCGCACTGAGCGCGCGCACCTGTCGCAGCCAGACGATAAGTCCCGTAGAGCTCTGCGCCAGCTGCGCTGAGCAGCTGAGCTGTGCTGTGCTGCGCTGCGCTGAGCTGAGCTGCGCTGCGCCGTGCGGTCCCGGGGGCGACACGAGTGACGCGCGGGAGGACACCCCGGCCGGTACAGCAGCGCGCCGCCCATGGCCAAGGCCATCACCAAGTCAAGTCGAGCCGCGCCCCTCCTCCTTCCTTCCTACACACCCTCCCTGTTGGAATATTACAAAGAGGGGTGACTGCTGCGACTCTGCTCTGAAACGCGGCGACGTTGCCCGGAGGGGGGG